GCCCTGTATCTGGGATCTCACACCTTTACCAGGGGAGGGCACCCACCAGGAGGTCCAGCTGCCCAGGGACTGCCCAGGGTCGTCCGGCTAGCTTTTTCTGGGTGCCAGCAGGGGTGGGAGCAGGGCTGCTTGGGAGCCCAGGCCTGATGACCCTGGCCCCTCTGTGTGGCCCCAGACCTCCGAGGAAGAACTTTTTAGCACCAATGAAGAAAGCCCAGCCTTCGTGGAATTCCTGGAGTTTCTCGGTCAGAAGATCAAACTGCAGGACTTTAAGGGGTGAGCAGCACGGTAGAGTAAGCAGAGTGTAATCTGGCCCACGCCCCTGGGCAGGGAGGGAGCCCTCGCCCTGGCCCTACAGAGGCCTGGTTGGGGCTAGAGACTGAGCCGTGGCCTGGGGGGCCTGGGGGCAGGTTCCGAGGAGGCCTGGACGTGACCCACGGGCAGACGGGGACCGAGTCTGTGTACTGCAACTTCCGCAACAAGGAGATCATGTTTCACGTGTCCACCAAGCTGCCCTACACAGAAGGGGACGCCCAGCAGGTAGCCTGGGCACCCACCCACCTGCTTCCCACCTGTCTGCTCATCTACCTGGCCACCCAGTATTCATCACACCAGGCTCAGATGAAAATGATTCAGTCCTCCTCCTCCCTGTCAGGGGTTCTTAATCCATTTGGGGGAGGGGAGACAAGTGCTCAAATGTTGAAAAAAAGCCTCAGTTTTTAAATCTCTGAAATGAGGATAATGACACCACCTAACAAAGGTGAGCACCGAGGAGGGAAGGCACAGAGAGGGACTAGAACAGTGCTGGGTCCGTAGCAAGTGCTCAGTGACTGTGAGCTGGTGTTACTGCAGGGACTGAGGGTGCGGTGGCATCCACGAGGCCACGTAGGCTTGGTGGAGATAGGATGCCTGGAGGTGAGGACATGCAGGGTGAATTCAGGGACCTGGATTTAGAAGTCTGTCCCCTTTCCCTGGGCTTCCTGCAGGGCTGTCCACCTTACCTCTCACTCACCCCGGCAGGAGAACTTGGGAAAAACAGAAATATTTAATCTTTATTTTCTTTTAATATGATCCTCTGCTTTGGCAACACTAGCATAGGGCCAAACAGAACTTGTTTTTCCATGAGGGCCAATTTTATGGTAGTAGGAAAAGGACTGACATGCAGAGTCTGGGGGTCAGGAGACGTGGGTTAGGCTATATAGGAGTCAGCTCCTACTTGGCTTTGGTTTCATCTGTCACAGGATTTCAGGAAAGAAAACATTTGAAGACAAGTTTCACCAAATTTCTTTTATTTTTTTTTTTTGAGAGGAGGGAAGCAAATGTTAGATGTGCCCCCCCAAGCCCTCTTACGTCCCTGCTGGTACCTGGGTCCCCAGCCCCAGAGGTCTGCTCTGTGGCAGGGGGTGATGGCCACGTTCTGTGCTCAGTTGCAGCGGAAGCGGCACATCGGGAACGACATCGTGGCCGTGGTCTTCCAGGATGAGAACACACCCTTTGTGCCAGACATGATTGCGTCCAACTTCCTCCATGCCTACGTGGTGGTGCAGGCCGAGGGCGGGGGCCCCGACGGCCCCCTCTATAAGGTGGGGTGATCTCGGCAGCCTCCGAGGTTCAGAGCAGACCTAGCACATCAGCAGCGCTTTAAGCCCCAGCTCTGCTCTGCAGGCCCTCTCTGAGCCTCAATTTTCTAAGCTGTAAATTGGAAGTATGTCTGAAGGACTCTGAGCTTGCTTTCTGCTCTGAGGAGGGAGGATTCCCATCATTCCCTCTTTGTTCCCCCAAAGGCCACCCCCTCAAAGGAGCTGGATATCTTTTCTACCCTCCTGGCCTAAAATCCCCTTCCTCTGCCTCCTTCAGCCTCCCTGCCTTTATTTCCCCCAATTACTCCTGCTGTCTGCCTTCCACATCTTCCCACAACTCAAGTTTCAGACAAAGGGCCAAGGAATTGAAATCCTGGGACTCAATCACTCCATCAGCAGTCATTGAGTGCCCTCCACCCGAGGAACAGGTCCAATACCCAGCATGTGGCAGGAGAGAGGGGTAATTTAGGGGTCCCTGGGTGACACACACAGCTAGTGTGTGGCTACTAACCAGAATGATAGTAGTTCCAAACTGCTCAGCAGAGCTCTGTAAGAAAGACCAGGCTGTCTGCTTCTGTAAAGATCACAGGCAAGAGAACAGCTGTACTCTGTCACGCGTGGGCTCGCCATGAGTCAGCATCAACTCAGTGGCGATGGGTTTGGTGTGTTTGTTTGGCTGGTGTGGAGCAGAGGGCCCAGGGAAGAGCAGGACAGGGTTCCACAGGAACAACTCCTCTCCCTTCCAGGTCTCCGTCACCGCCAGGGATGATGTACCTTTCTTTGGTCCTGCTCTCCCAGACCCTGCTGTGTTCAGGAAGGTGAGTGGCAGCCCCGCCCCTGGTTATGGGCAAAGAGTGGTGAGCACTTTGCCAGATGAGGTCCTAAAGGCTCCACTGTGCCCGGGCAGCTGGACTCCCCTGAGTTGCAGCTGGGGCCTGGCTTTTTTGTGTCAAGCTGATAAAAACTGATTTTTAAACAAGGTCACACAACAAAGGACAGCACCTTTTTTTGCATTTTCTTTTTAATAATTTTTTAAAATAATTTTAATGAACATTTACAGAGATTTTGGGTTTCCATTCATTCCTTTCTGCACTTCTCTCCTGTTTTTTGCATTTTCCTGGAAGATTCTGTGGCCCTTCCTTGATTACTGTCAGGTGCTCGCTAATGATTACAAAGCAGAGTACTTGACCCCTCACCCCTCAGGAGCCACTCACTGAACTCTGGTTATAGGCCTAGGCACAGCACATCCCCTGTCCCAGGTAGAGGCAACAGGAGACCCCTGTCCTGACCTCCGCATTTGAAGAGTTTGCCCTCCCTCCTGAGGGGCTGGGCAGGCATGAAGGCACAACCCAGGGACCTGGAACGCACAGCGGCAGTGGCCTCTGGAGGAGTTCTGGGAGTGAAGGGTGGGGCAGCCCTGGGCTCCAGCAGGGGCTGGTTTAGGAGCTGTGGCCCCTACTTTTGGGGGTTCGGCTTGGTTTTTGTGCTTGACACCCCTCCCTTTCTCTTTTCCCCCCACACTGGGGTTTCTAGGGGCCTGAGTTCCAGGAATTTCTGCTGACAAAGCTGATCAATGCTGAATATGCTTGCTACAAGGCAGAGAAGTTTGCCAAACTGGAGGTGAGGACATGGGTCTATTGCTGGGATGGATTCCCCACCCCCATCCCTTCTTCCTAATTTGTAAGCTCAGCCCTGCCTCTCTGGGCAGGGAAAAGCCTTGTTGAGACTGTGGATGATGGAGGAAGATTGCCTTGGAGCAGTCAGGGAGGAAGGATTCAGGAATGAGCAGGGCTTGGAAACCCTGTTAGTCTCTGCTCACATGAGGTCACCACACTGGGTGGTGCCAAACAAAGGTTAATGATTTGCTTTAGCAGAAAGCTTGGAGATTTGAGACCAAGGGTGCCTTGGAAGAAAGGCCTGGTGATCTATTTCCAAAAAATTCAGCCATTGGAAAATAAAAACCCCTTACTATGTGTAGTCCTTTCCAGACACACAGTACCCATGAGTCAAAATCGACAGGGCAGCTAGTTACAGGCCTGGCAGGAGGGGCCCTCAGCGTTGACTGGCTGGTGAAGGGGGGATGGGAATGGGAAAGCAGGTCCTGAGTGGGCCTAGAGCGGCAGAGGGGCTTAAAGGAGCAGGTGTGGGCTCCTGGGTGTAGACCCTTCCCTACTCCCGGCTTCTGTGGCTGCTGGGATTCGAACTGTGGGCTCTGGGCTGGTCCCTGGGATCTTCTCACCACTCGGCCTGATCCCCAGGAGAGGACGCGGACCGCCCTTCTGGAGACGCTGTATGAAGAGCTGCACATCCACAGCCAGTCTATGATGGGCCTGGGTGGGGACGAGGACAAGATGGAGAACGGCGGCGGGGGCGGCGGCTTCTTTGAGTCCTTCAAGGTGACGTCCCTGCGCCCCACAGAGGGCTGTGAGGGAAGAGGGGCGTGGCTTAGTATGGGGTTGGCCGGGGGCGGGGCTTGGGGTGTGGCTACAGGCGGGCTCCCAGCTGGGGGTGGAGTCTGGGATAAGGGAGAGTCCAGGTGGATTGAAGGAATTGAGGTGGGCTCAAATTTGGGGGTGTGGACTATTTCTGGGACACAGCTTGAGGCTAAAACCAGTATAAGTTGGGGCTGTGCTTTGGGGAAAAGTGGCTTGAAGGCAGGGAGAGCCAAACTTGAAGGCAGACTAGGGCCCAGCCCACAGCAATGTACTTGATCCAAATTATCACTATATTTGTAAAGCAGATAGATTATGTTAAAAGCAAAGCTTCAGCAACTGAAGAGGTAGGGGAGGACTCACCCAGCTGCAGGTCCCCAGTGTACAAGGCCACACCTCTGTGTCACCACCTACAGGCAGCCTGAGGCTCACCTCCACTCAGACCAGATCAGAGCTGTGAACGGGGGTTTGGGTGAGGGATTTAGCAGAGTTGCCCAAGCCTGGCCTGGAGCTGAGATGAGCAGACCCTGCTTTTGAGAAAGAGGCTTGAGGAGGGCCTTGTCTCTGCCCACTGGGGACAGGGAAAGGGTGAGGTGAGCACAGGTCTGGAGTCCCTTCTTTGAAGGAGGGAGGGCTCTGGTGGTCCCAAGTCTGGTGAGTTCCAGATGGTGCATTTGCTGTTGTGTGTTGTCAAGTAGGAACCCACTCACAACTGACCCTCCAGCAGGTTTTCAGAGGCAGTAAATTGAATGGGAGAAGAGTGCCCGTCTTTCTCCCACAGAACAACTGGTGGATTTAGAACTTCATGCCTTTGCAGTGGCAGCGCAGTTTCTAACCACTAAGCCACCAGAGCACTAGATAAGGTCAGACAGTTTTACATGGCAGCAGAGCCCACAGTTAAGTGTATAGAATTTAGTGTTGTGGGTTCTAAGCTGTCCTCCACCTCAGGTCATCACATGTAAAATGAGCATAATTGATATCTCTTTGCAGTGCTGATGTATAGATTAAGTGAGGAAGCAAATCTGAGATATAAGGGCTTATATCAGTAAAAAAATTTACCAGAAGAAAATGGAGGGAGGAAAAGAAGAAAGCTCTGAGCCCATAGGCGGAAGGAAACCAGGTGTTTAGAGGCTCACATTCTGGTCATGACCTAGTATCTACTCCAGTCTTCACAATGACTATAGGAGGAGACTGGCTCAGAGGTGAAGGGACTTGCCCAAGGTCACCCACCCAGTGGTGGCAGAACCACATTGCTGATCCATAGGCACCATGGACTTGCGTCTTGTGTGATAGGGAAATTGAGGCCTCACGAGGCCAAGGGACTTCCTAAGGTCACCCAGAGTGGTGGTGGTGGGAAAGGACCTGCCGCCTGATGCTGCCTAGGGCATTGAAATTCCCCAATGTGTTGGCATCTTATGACGCTTGTGTCCTCACCCACCCCACAGCGGGTCATCCGGAGCCGCAGCCAGTCCATGGACGCCATGGGGCTGAGTAACAAGAAACCCAACACCGTGTCTACCAGCCACAGCGGGAGCTTCACGCCCAACAACCCCGACCTGGTCAAGGCAGCTGGAATAGTGAGTGCCCCTGCTCCCACTCCTCCTCCCAGGACCCCCAGTTCTCCCTTACCTCTCAAGGCTGGCCCATGTCCTTCTATCAACTGCTGTCCACATGCCCATCCTGGACCCTAGACTTGGCCCAGCTATTACTCTCTTGGGGTCGAGTTCTGGGGTAGGGTTACTGGGAAACTAAGTTGCAGTGCCCTCCCCAGCTCGTTAGTCCTCCCCTCCTTGCAGCCCCTTTGCTTTCTTCTGATCAGCTCAGGCAGCCCCTGTAGCACATTTCTTACTGGGCACTTCCTGTGTGTTGTGTGCTGGGGCCTGGGCTGCTGTGTGGGCACTTCCTATCAAGCCTTTGGTTTCTGGGTATTCCTGTGTGTTAGTCTGTGAGCACTCACTCTGTGTCAGGGTTGCTGTGTGATCACTGACTGTATGCCTGGCCCTGGGATGCTGGGTGGATACCTATTGTGTGTCAGGTCCTGGGCTGCAGTGTGGACATAGACTCTGTGAGCACCTATTATGGGCCTGGGCCTGAGCTTCTGTGAGCACCTACTGTGTGTCAGGTCCTGGGCTGCTGTGTGGGCAACAACTCTGTGAACACCTACTGTGCGCTTAGTGTGGGCTGCTGTGTGAGTATCTGTTGTGTGTCTGGAAATGGACTGCTGTGTGTGAGCACGTAACATGTTCCAAGGCCTGGATTTCAGTGCACATCTACTATGTGTCAGGGAAGTGAGCTGCTGTGTGGGCACCTACTCTTGTCAGTACCTCCTGTGTCTAGCCCCAGGTCACCTACTGTGCGCCTGGGCCTCTGTGGCTGTGTGACTACCTTCTCCCACTCTTGTGTCAGGAACTGGGCTTCTGTGTGATCATCTCCTGAATGAACACCTACTGTGTGATGACTTACTACCTGCTAGACTCTGGGATTCTGTTGCTAACACGAAGGGGATGCCGGGAAATAGAATGCTATTGAAGGCAAAACTCTCAGGCTTAATTGCTTTCTGCCACCTAGTGGCCTCTCAGGGCACTACACCTGTTGCTTTGCTTGCCTCATTCCCATCCACCCATCCTCCCACCCAACCACCCATCCACCCACCCATCCACCCCTACCTCCCTCATATTGACTGTCTACTGCATGCCAAGCCCTATGCTCAGTGCTGTGAGGCTGTGCCACATGGCAAGAGGGACCCTTTACCTCTGCCCTGTGGTCTGGCCTGGCCAGGGGAACAAGGCGGGTTCTCTGCTGTCCAGCAGTATCCCTAAGCCCACTGTTATCAGAGGAACAGGAACCAGCCACTCAGACTTACCAACCCCTCTCCCCTTCTGGAGGGACCCAACCTTTTGTGGGTGGACAAAGAGGGGCCCCAGGGGGGACAGGCCAGGCCAGTAGCACCCACCATGGCAGTAACCAGACCCATTTCTGTTTTTGTCTTTGCACAACTCTCCCCTCCTCTCCATACTGCTTCCTCCTCCTTCCACTCTTTTGTGTTGTTTTGTTTTTCCTTTATTCCTCTCTCCACTCTTTTCCCGCTGTTGTATTTCTTCTCTCCTCTTGCACCTCTCTGCTCCGTGTCTCCCCTTCCTGTGGTTCTTTTTTCCTTCCCTTCTCTGTCTGTACCCCTGCATCTTCCTGCGTCCGACTCTGTCACTGTCTGCCCTTCTCTCATGCCCTTGCCTTTATCTCTGTCTTTGTAACTGTCTACTGTTTCTGTGCCTCACTTCTCTCTCGTCCCCCTCCCCACTTTGTTTTTCTCTCCTACCCCGTCTCACCTCTCTGCGTGTCCCCCTCCTGCCATCTCTGTCTATCTGACTTTCCTGATATCTTTCTGTCTCTCTTTGCCCCTGCCCTCTGCTACTTGCCAGTCATTGCTTATTCCTGGGAAAAGTGCGAGTAGATTCGGACGCCGGGGCAGTGCCATAGGCATAGGAACCGTGGAAGAGGTTGTCGTCCGCGGGGCCGCCGGCTCTGGAGCCTGCCTGCACGCGCTGCTCTGCTCGCTCTCAGGACGGAGGCCATATTGGGGACGTTACCCCCCCTGACCCCTGGGACAGGCCCAAGGGTGTGCAGGATGGAATGCCAGCAACTCCAGTGGCACTCAGGGCCTGTTTTGGGGCCTGGGACCTCTCACCCTGCCCAGGACCCTGGCTCAGTCCCTGCTGGGATTCGGTATCCTGAGACCCTGCTCCCCATCACACGTCCCCCAATATCGCTGGTTCTGCATGGAGCACTATCTTGACCTCTGCCCCAACTGCCCCCCAGTTCTTTGCCATGAACTGTTCTGGGGGGTTCCTGCCCCTCCACATGGCCCACCTTCCTAATGGGTGCCCGGGACACCCCACTTCACTGTGTGGGGGAAAAGAGACATTTTCTTCTGGCTGCTGGAAGAGGGGCTTGGGTATTGCTCTGCCCACCATTTTGCCCCCACCTGTTGCCTGCGGGTCCCTCAGGGTAGCCATTCTGAGAATCTGGCTCCACTCCTTCCAGCCCCAGAGTGGCGGCCAAGCCCCCTTTGGGCCCTGCTCTGTCTCCCTGGAGACCACCCTGTCGCGTGGGCTTGCCCGTCTGCACACTGGGAGGGCGGTGTCTCTTGCTCTTTCTTGCTTGTTGCCTCTCTTCCAGGCCTGGGGCCCAAGGGTGGCATGTGGGGGGCCTTGGGGCTCCCAAAGCAGATGGGCACTGAGTTGGGCCTCTCCCTGCAGTCACTGATTGTCCCTGGGAAGAGCCCTACGAGGAAGAAGTCAGGCCCATTTGGCTCCCGCCGCAGCAGCGCCATTGGCATCGAGAACATACAGGAGGTGCAGGAGAAAAGGTGGGTGTGAGAGAGGCCTGAGTCTCCTTGGGTTCCTTCCCTGTGCCCCCAAGACTGCCGCTCTCCCGACCTCAACTCACTGCCAAAGAGAAGCAGGCGGTAGGACATGCCCATCCCACACCACTGACAGCCGTGCATTCATGTCTCTGCTGTCTGGACAGACCAGGCTCAGTTCCCGTGCTCTGTCTGTGCCCCAGTGAGTGCAGGCGAGCCCAGGATGGCACAGGCCAGCAAGCCCATCTTAGCAGCTATGCAATCCCTGCAGGGAACTGGGCTGTGTGACCTTGGTCAAGTTGCTGTACTTCTCTGAGCCTCAGTGTCCAAAACTGGAGAGAAAACCCCCCAAAACCAGGAATAATGACAGAATCTGTATCATGGAGCTCCTGTGAGGACTTGTATGACACATGCAATGCTCTTAGAGTGGCGTTCGTGCACTGAGAAGGCTCTGGGAGTGGAGCTGGCGCTGTCCTCGTCACTTGAACTCGAAATTCTTTACCCTGGGTGCAAATGTTGACTTCACAACATCCTAGCTGGGTGTCTGGAGCAGGTTCCCTCCCGTCTCTGAGCCCCAGTTTCCGGAGGAGATGGGAGGTGCCCTGTCACATGTATGTATGTTCCAGCAGTGCCTGGTCAGCCCAGGAGTCCATCAGGATTGCTCTGGGGGGGACACACTGAGCCAGAACCCCTCAGGTACCAGGCACAGCATGCTCATACCTACGTTCACCACCTGGGCCTAGGTCTCATCCCACCCTTGATTGAAGGCCACATGCTGAACTCTCATCACTATCCCTGTGTGCCCCACAGAGAGAGCCCCCCAGCTGGCCAGAAGACCCCAGACAGTGGGCACGTTTCACAGGAGCCCAAGTCAGAAAACTCATCCACTCAGAGCTCCCCGGAGATGCCCACGACCAAGAACAGGTTGGCTTTTGGGGCCCGCCGATCTTAGGAATTGGGTGCCGTGAGCTCACTGCTTTTGTCCCCAGCCTGGGCGCAGGACCCTGGGAACATGCACCATGTCACTCTCAGGCACACCCACTGCATGCTTTGAGCTAACCTGGAATGTGGTTCCAGCGGTGGCCTGGACACTTGTGGTCCCCACATTACAGAGCTGTCCATCGATGTGGACTGAACCAGTTTGCTATTTGCAGATAGAAATGACAGGAGGGAAATACAACAGAAATGTGGAGGGGAATGGCAGGGGTGGGGTTTTAGGTGCTTAGGGAAGATGTCCCTGAAGGAGAGCAGAAGGAAGGTTCTAGGTGAAAACGCAGCAAGTGCCAAGGCCCTGAAACCAGGAAGGCGCTCAGCTGCTTGAAGGAGGTAAGGATGGGTGGTGCACTTGGAGCTGAGGGATTGGGGACTGGGCCTGGCAGGCAGGTGCAGGAGAATGGCAGGAACGAGGGCGGAGAGGCCAGTACAACTTTGGAGGCCATGTGAGAATACTTTGAGAGATTGAGAACCTTTGGAAGACGTAATTAAGGGAGTGAGACTTATTAAAAACTGTGATGGAATGGGGCAGGAGCATCCGGGTGCCGGCTGATGGTGTCCCGTGGTGGTTGTGGAGGAAGTGGGGCTGGCAGGCTCAGGGACATGGGAGGACCTTGGTAAGCTCTGATGTCGTGCACTGGCTGGAGAACCTACTCCCGGTTTAGCCCTCCATTCTGCTCATATTGGCCGAGCCTCTCTGTTCCACGTTGTGTGCCACACACAGAAAGGGTGAGGCAACTTGGTGTGGCCTGAGGCAGGTGAGTGAACTTAGAGTCAGGAAGGGGCTTCAGGGAGCAAGTGTAGGGAAGAACAAGGCATATAGGACCCAGAGGAAGGAAGTAACTTCTGCCTTGAAAGGAGGAATTAGGGAGGGCTTCCTGGAGTAAGGGGCTTTTGTCTTGAAAGATGAATTTGGTCTGAGAGATTCAAAAGCAAGAGTGAGACTCCGGACAGGAGACTCAAAGGCCCTGAGCATGAAACAGTTGAAGGGTAGTTTAAAGTTAGAGCAGCTGACCCAAACCTCTGTTCTTTCTCTTCTGGCTGGGTGGCCTTGGGTCACATGCTCACCCTCTCTGAACTTTGGTGTCTCCTCATCCATAAGGCATATTTTATGATAGCAATGAGATTGTTCACATGGTTTTTACAAAAGCCAAGCTCAGGCCACTGGAATGTGTCTGAGGCACTGGGAGACGTGAGAGGGTTTGGAGCGAGGAGGGACATGCTGAGATCCGGGTGTTAGGAGGCCGCAATGGGAGTGCTCGAGGCTCAGAGGTCTGGGGAGCTGTGATGGGGGCACAGAGATGGCTGATAGGGACAATGGGGTGGGATTTGGCCCAGGCGGAGCCCAGGGTGACAGTGCCTGATGGGCACTCTCTCTGGCAGAGCGGAGACAGCGGCTCAGAGGGCAGAAGTGCTGAAGGACTTCTCCCGCTCCTCGTCCAGTGCCAGCAGCTTCGCCAGCGTGGTGGAAGAGACAGAGGGTGTGGACGGGGATGACACAGGCCTGGTGAGAGGCCGGGGGTCTGCTCCACACTGACCCAGGCTGGGGTGGGGTGGCCAAGGGTATCATTATCAGTGTATATGCCTCTATGGGAACATGAGCCTGAAATGAGGACCCAGCACCAAAGAACAATACAGACTTAATGTTCTCTTTTTCCAAAGCCTGCCATGGCTCCCAGTACTGTCCACAGAGAACCCAGTCTCTGACTTGACTTTCTGCTGCTCCATTTCCTCCCATACCAACATCCTCTCTCGCTGCTGCAGGCGTCTGCACTCTCTTGCAGCCCCCAGCTGTACCAGGCCCACTCCCCTCTCCAGGCCTCTGCAGGAGTCTCTCTCTGGAACATTCTGCCTCCTCTTTCCCATTTGCCTATCTGGGTTATTTTCAACCTGCTCAACTCAGCCTCACATCACTGCCTCCTGAAAGCACTCTCTGATTTCTCAGTCCCAGGGGAGGGTGGGAATCCCCTCTAGGCTTGCAGATTCTTAGCACCCTTGGGTCATTCGCCAGTCAGCAAATCTTTATTTACCAGATACTGTTCCAGGTGCTGCAGGTGTAGTGGGGAAGACGGCTGACAAGGCCTTGCTCCATGAGACTCAGGCTCTGAAAGGATTATTTCAGTTCTTTGCCTGTCTCCTACCTGAACCTTGAGCTCCCCGAGGGGTGGTGCCATGCCTGGTCTCCTGGGTCAAGCGAGAATGTCGGTGAACGTTTGCCGAGTCGATGGATGCATGGGTCGGAGTGACTAGTGTGTACCTGAATCACTACCTGCCTCCTGCAGCAGAGGGGGCTGTGGAGGGCAAGCCAATGCCATGATGTGGACCAACCCCCTTCCTCCTCTCTCTGCCCCCCCCCAGGAGAGTGTCTCATCCTCAGGGACGCCCCACAAGCGGGACTCTTTCATCTATAGCACCTGGCTGGAGGACAGTGTCAGCACCACAAGTGGGGGCAGCTCACCAGGTACCATGCCAGGGGCAGCTGCTTGGCCACAGAGGGTCAGAGGGATCAGAGGGGAGAGTGTCTGAGACCAGTTCCCAGGCCCCAGGTTGGTGGGAATGTGATGGGACCCAGGCCTGGAGCTGACACTCAGCCTGGCCGGCCTGTGCGAGCTGTCGCCCATGCCCTGCCTGCTCCTAACAGACTAGGTGCCTAGACACTAGGTGGTGGGTTGCTGACAGAGAGGCCTTGCAGGATGACAGAGTGGGCAAAGGGTATTCAGGGTAGAGAGTCCCTAAGGGCAAGATCTGGGTTGAGGAATGCAGTGCCAACCACCCACCCATGCCCCCATTTCCCTGATGCCTCCCCGTGGCCAGTGAGGTGGCTCCCTCCTGCCCCCCTCCCCAGGCCCCTCACGGTCACCCCACCCAGATGCCGGCAAGTCGGGGGACCCTGCATGTCCCGAGATCAAGATCCAGCTGGAAGCATCTGAGCAGCACATGCCCCAGCTGGTAGGTGCGGCCTGGGAGCCTGGCAGGGTGAAGGTGGGGTAGGTGCAGCCTGGGAGCCAGGGAGGTAGCCCTCAGGGGTCACTGGCTGGCAGGGAGAGATATCAGGGGACAGAGTTGGGACTGGGCCAGGAGTGCCCCAGGCTAGGAGGGGCTGGAGTGGTCAGCTTGGGTGCCGCCGCTGACATCTGCATGTCAGGTCTCCTGCCCCTGCCGTTGTCTGTCTTTCACCCACCTCACCATGCTGTCTGTCTGTGCAGGGCTGTTAGTTGGTCTGCTCTCTCCGAAGATGAACCCGAGCAGGTCAGACCCTGCCCTTCAACTCTTGCTGCGGGGGGTGGAGGTGGGTGGGGGTGGAGATAGCAGTCAGGGTGCTGGGCTGACTCCTCCCAGTTCCCCTGGGGGGAAAGCAGTGTACCTGGGACCAGAACTCTGCTACTCATTTTCTGGGTGCCATTGGCCACTCTCGGGGCCTCAGCTTTCTTATTTGGATAATGGAGCTTTTCCTCTGGAGCCTTCCATGGGAATTTCCAGCAGAGGCAAGAAAGAGCCTGGCAGAGGGTCCCCAAAAGACAGAAAAGCCCCCCAAGCCTGGAACGCTAAGGATGTGGGCCCCCACTCCCTTCTTCCTACTTCACTGTCTGCCTCTCCTTTTTGCTCTGCAGAAGAGGCCGCAGAAGCACAAGGCAAAGTTGCTGTGTAAAGTCCAGACAGGACCGTCCTCTGCCTTCAAGTCCAGCCCTGATCCTGCAGACTGTCGCCCGCCTCCCCAACCCTCCCCCTGGCCTCTGACTTGGGACTGCTCTGCAGGGCGGAGCAATCCAGACCAGGAGTGGGGAAGCTGCTGGCATCTTCCCCACTCCTCAGGCTGGGGTCTGGGCTGGGGAAGGGAGTGAACAGCTGAAGCAGGACTCCACGCCTGGCTTGTAGCCACCCTGAGCCCTCCGTCGCCCCTGGACACTCCACTGGGCTCGGGGAACAAGATGGGAGGGAGTGTGGAGGTAGCTTGATGCACACAGATGATCAGGAGGAAGGCGGCGTGGCTGGGAGCCCTGTGCTGGGCGTTCTGCATTCTGACTTGGGTTCTGCTGTGTAACTTTGAACAAGTCATTCTCCCTCTCTGGGCACCTCTGTTGCAAACGGACAAGATTGATTCAGAGGCCCCTCAAGACTGTGACTTGTGCACTAACCCAGAAGAGGGGACTGCCTTCCTGAGGGCCTTTCATCCTACCCTGCTGCTTGGGGCTCCAGGCCGGCTGAGGGGCAGGGAGCTAGTCATGACACTGCCGCTCCGGACCTTCAGCTCCCAGATCTGCCAATGCCCTGTCCACTGCCTACACGTGACAGACGTGCAGCCCCTTGAGGGGAAGGGGACTACCTGGCTTTTCAGTCACCACCCAGCTTCACTCCTACCATCCCATGCTGCTGGGCACCCCAGGTCGAGGGGCTCAGCCAGCGTAGAGCCACAGGCCTCACCTCTGTGCCCCTTCCTCATGGAGGGGACAGTCACAGCCGCTCAGTCCACATCCTTGTGTGTGTCTGCCCACACTTTTTAGGCACCATGCCAAAGGCCAGCCTTCTGGCCCCAGCACCCATTTTGGAAGCTCCCTCAGCCAATGTGTATGTCGGTAACAGGTGTATAAAATAAATTCTATTTATCACTATTGTACCCTGTGCTGGGCTAGGCTTTGCACCCTCCTCACCCTGATTGACCCCAGGAAGCTCCTTCGTGGGCCCGAGGTAAAGGGGACAAACCCATCCCTTTAAAGCTGCTGTGTCCAAGGGCGCCTTTAGACCTGTGGGCACCAGCGAGGCTTCCCCCTCACGGCATCCTTCTCGCCACTCTCCTCTTCCACCTTTTCTCTAGGGTCTGTGGAACCTGGCAGTGCAAGGCATGAGTTTTGGTACCAACCCTTAGTGGCAGTAAAATTCCCTGAGCCTCAGTTTCCCCATCTGTAGAATGGAAATAATGGTACCTCTCCCAGTGACTTTATCATGAAGATTAGATGAACTGATGGGTGTCAAACACCCAGCTCAAGTGTCTGGCTCTCAGGAGGCACCTATTGAATGAATTGCCTCCTCCGCTTTCTCAAGCTGAGTGAATGCTAAGACTATATCCAATGTGGCCGGGAGGGGGCACCAAGGCATCACTTACAGGGGTTTAATAGTCTATTGTGGGTGTTTAGGATGAATCCCTTAAGGTCCCAGGCTGGATGCTCACAGTGTTATTAGGGGAGACAGTTACGATAAAGAGCCATCAGGGACCCGAGGGACACACGAGGAGGGGGTGGGAAGCACAGACTTCCTGGAGCATCACAGACGGCTGGTTAGTGACAGGGAGGCTCAGAGAAGTGTCCTGGGAAATGCAGGTGCAGAGATGTGGAGGAGACAGCGCATGAGGATAGCAAATGTTCCAAAGGCAGGAGTGTAGCCATGTGGCCATCAGCCACACAGCCTTTACTGCTAGACCAAGGGAGGACACTGAGGACAGTGGGAGCGTGGAAGATTTAAAGCAGGATGCACCATAGAGAGGCTGTGGGGGAGATGGACTGCCTGGGGTCCGTGGAGTGAGTATCGGGGAGCTGTTGTTGGAGACAGGTTGTAACCAGGAGGACAGGCCTAGGGCACAGAGGGCTTGATGGAATGTGGAGCTGAGGGAGGGTCCAGCTTGGGTGTTGGGTAAAGGGGTCTTCTCAGGATTAAGAGTGAAGGAGGAGGAGCAGCTTTGGAAGGTAGCCTGGACTGTCTGGACAGTGGGCGTCAGGGCAGGTACAGACTTGGGGGCACACGGAGGTCAGCCTGCCTGGGACTCCTGACAGTTACGTGGCTTCCCCATGCCCTCCCCAGGGCGATGCTGGGGCACTGATGCTGTCAGGGAGTGTCATGCTTTCCTGACAACCCTTCCATGGCCACAGACACTTCAGGCCACCCGGTGGCTGTGACTCACGCTCCAACCCCACAGCCTTACCCACTTGGGTTTGGCTCCAGACTGCCGGAGGCTCCATGGGTCCCCGACCATGTCCCCTCTCCTCTCTCATCAGCCTGGTCTCATTCTCCACCTTCAGTGACCCCTCCCCTTGCTCTCAGCCTTCTGCCTCAGACTTCCACCCTATCGCCCGTCTCCATCCTGCTCCAAGCCGCAGTCCAGCCCCATGGCCGAGAGCTTATGCCTGAAGTCAGCCTTTCACCTCCCAGCTCTGTGACCTGAGGCTTGGGAGTTTGGCTTTCCAAGCCTCAGTTTCCTCCTCTGTACAGTGAGAACGCTAATAGTCCTGAACTTCCTGGCACCTCTTCGTTGGTAAGGATGAAATAGACTGGTACCCATTTAGAGTACAGTCCTAGAACGTAGTAGGCTCCCAAAATAGTGTGGGTAGGAGATGATTAATTCTTAATAAGGAAACCTTTGGAGGGTGTGGGGTCAACCCAGAGTACGGAGGCTGCAGGCATGGTGCTGAGCATGAGCACCCCAATGTGAAGTTTTGAGGAGCAACAGCTGAGCATCATGATTTCTGGCACCCCTCCCCCACATTCCGTAGCTGAGGCTAGAGCCACTGGGGGCCTTGGTGGAGCAGCCTGTCATGGTCCTGCCTTTGCCCCCTCCCTTCCCAGGTGGTGTCAGCCCCCGTTTGCGGGAAGGGAAGGCTCCTGGGCTGGGTGTCAGCCCAGGCCCCCACCCCAGCCCCGCCATCCTGGCTCCAAGGTGGGACAGGGGAAGCTGAGGATCAAAGTGTCCGAGGCTGTTTCTCTTGTGCCCTCGCCAGTGCTGGACTCGCCCTGGTTCTGAGGTGGGGAGGGCGAGCCAGGACACTCTGACCCGAGGCTGGAATTAGACCTTGGGTGGGGGGCACAGGGCTCCGGGAAGAGCTGACCACTGCTTAGAAATAGCTCCAGTGGTGGAAGAGGCAGCCAGACTTTCCCCAGACACAGGAGGGCAGAAGCCTCCCATGGAGAGACCAGGGTTCCTGGCACACCTGCACCCCCATAGGCCCCTTGCCCTTGCCTTGTATCCAAAGCATCCCCTCTCTCTGAGTCTCAGTTTCTTTACTTATAAAATGAATCGACACCTCCATTTATTATTCTGAAGCGACCACCGTGGCCTCTAAGGTACTTTGCAAAGTGCCTATTACAGAACTTATTTATGCCTTGTAATGCAGGGGGTCCTCCCTGCTCCTCTCCTCACAGTTGAAATGACCCTGGTTATCCATGATCAACCCTGGGATGACATTGCCCATGAGGTGACCACAGTCCCAGGCCCATCCAGAGCCAGGGGCTGGGACCTGGATGTTCTCTGCTGCTCAGCCACAGGGGGTACTCAGCCAGGGGCCCTGGAATGTGGCTGCCCCTCCCTCCTTCCCTGCACCCGCCCTGCCAAGGGGACAGCCTGGGATGGAGTCTCCCGAAATAACCAGATCTGGTTAGAGAAGCTAATTTTAAAAGCCACTCTGGCTGCCCCATAGGCATGAAT